ATCGACATAATAAGTACCATTGTGTTTGAAATAAACACAAAAGGCATAGGTTTACTATGTGAAACTCGGGTATGGATTATACTAAAATATTTAGTCATATGCAAGAAATATTTGATTAATCTTAATGATGTAACAGTATTAAAATATCTGCGATTTTCCTGCGATGTAATTTGTCATTCAATTAATAATAATAAAAAGCAGGTTTAATGAAATGCCAAAAAAATATCTAATAACGCTCAACTATCGAGAGGGATTGGCATCAGTTAGTAGAAGTTCCAGAGTTGTGTATCTTCCGCATTTTAAGTGAGATAGTCGATTTAAATGCTGATTGAGCGTATTTGCAGCAATCGGTCGACAAGGTGCGACACACGGTGGAGTTTCACCAATTATTTCGATGATGTGTACTATGAAAGATGACCATTCCGAAGACAAAGAATCATCCGTGGGATATAATTTTTCAGCTTGTTCAAACATCGAAGCAATTACAGATACACCAAACTAAACAGAAAAGCGTATAAATGTAGAAACCGATGTAAAACGAAAAAAGCGAAAAATTAAAAGATTTAACAGTAAGATTTAAGACGAACCTTGTTTGTCAGAGCAAAAGCTAAACTGTTGTTCTTGATTGGTTGACTAACGGAGTCGGATAGTGACCGAGCTAGTCGGAGCATCGTACCAAACTCGTGCACAGTATCGAACCAACGTTGAAATTCCGAATGGAGGCTTATCAATAGGTGAGAATCTCTACGACCTATTATAGCTAATCCTCGGAATATCGCATTCCATAATTCTTCTAATTGATTACGATGTTCCGTTACATTCAAGTATGGCAAGAACCTCAATAACAGCGTCTGTGATAAACAATAATATTCGAACGATCGACATAAAAGTTTCTTTATTTCTTCCTGTCTTTCCTTCTCTTCTTTTCAAATTTTCCTGTTTTTTTTTCCCCCTAACAGCACAGTATTTTGTTCTTAGCTCACTTACCTTCCCTTTCCGAATACTTAGCATGCTTGCTATTTTATCATCGTGTATTAACTGAAGAAAAGCCGATAACATCATACTTATTAAATCTGAACTACTTTTCTTATGGCTATTTGCTTCGGTTTCTCCTTCTTGGTTTTGTTGTTGGTTTTGTTCACTAAGCAGAGCCAAAGGATTGTGTAGATCTTCGAGTTTTAATTGGATTATATATAACTGGAAATATAATCGTTCAGAATCGTGACAGATTATAGAATAGAATGTTTGTTAATTAAAGGAATAAGAAAATACCCTTTCAATTTCCAGTAATAATTGTCTTGTTCGTTTTGTATCCTTTTGCTGTATTTGGGTAGTTAATTGAGGATCGCTGTTCGGTACAACATCCATATCAATAACTTTACGTGGTGCTATAACACTGGCATACTGTAATTTTCCCAAAGAATTCTCAAACTGTGTTGGCGTATATGCGGATTTTGAAAGTACGTGATGTGGTTGTTCACGATCTCTGAAAATAAACGTAATAACAATGTTAATGAAGAAACCTTGTAAAAATAGAATTTAAGAGAAGAGGAAAGAAAAAGAGAAAAAATTAAATACAAAGAAAGATTCACCTGGTATCTCTATGATAACTATTATTATTATTATTATTGTGTTGCTTTTTATCTTTTTGTTCTTGATTTATACTTTGTCTGTTTCTTCTATCGCAGAAAACGATGTAATAGTAATCATCAACATACGGCTCGTTTGTGTTAAGTTGCAATAATTGAATATTAATTAACCACTGTTTTTCTCGACTACTCATGAGACCGGCATAGTCATCGTACGGTTCACCCGAACCTATTACACCATTTATTCCTTGACAGTGGTGATTGTAATGATAATGCCGTTGATTATTTCGATCATGGTTACGATGATACTGATTATTCTTAAAAAATGGTTGATGATTTCCTTGTTGCTCTCCATGATGAAAAGCTCTATTTTGATTTCTTTGATTTCCAGAATGTGAAAAAGAATGTTGCTGCTGCTGATGACCACTTTGATTGCTAGAGAAAGGAGGTATTATGCTATGGTCTGCTCGTAAAAATGGAGGAGGACATAAGTTCGAAAGCGGTGGTTGCTGCAAAAGAATAAAAGAAAGAAAATTTTTTTCTTTGAAGTTTCAAAAGATTCACATAGAATTAATTATTAAATAAACAATGAAACTTACAGGAAAATTATTGCAAAACGAACCATGAATTGGTTGCCTCTGAGGAGTATGAGGCAACATCGCATAATGCGCCGCTATAGGATATCTTAGTACATTTCCAGTTTGATCTATGAGAATAAACACGTGGATGTTACAAATAAAAAAAAAAAAGAAAATGTGTATTTGTGCTTATATTTGTATTTTTTTTTATTGAAATTTGTTTGTTGCACAAAAAGAAAAAAAATATATACTTACTGGGTAATAATCTAGGATGTTGTAAAAATTGAGGATGAGGAAATCTCATGTTTGGTGGTAAAACAACAGGATGTGGAGGTGGTATACCCAAGCCTGGTGGAAAGCGCGGTGCTGCAGACAAAGATTCAAACAAAAGCGATCCATCTTTTGGTTGTTGTTGCTGCTGCTGTGTCTGAATAGGTTTGTTCAATTTAGGTGGCGCCCTATTTGCGATCAATCCTTTCTCCAATTGCTCAACGGTACAAACATTGGTTAAAGTGGATGGTAAAGTCAACGGTGGTCTGGGTTTAGGAAGGGCTAAATTGGAAGGACTATCCCATACTCCAGGACGCGGAATGATACCTTCTTTCTCATCTAGTACCAAATGGGATAAATTATCTTCGATATTTGTATCAATTACATTCTGCAACAATCATTATATGAGTTTAGCTAGTCTGTGATTCTGATATTACGTATCACAAAAGAAAGAATAAAGTTTCGACTGATTTGTTTACTTTTTTGTCTAAAGTACTCTGGTGACGGCTGGATTCTGTAATTTCTGCAAGTTTCTCATGGTCCTTCTCCCAATCGCCAATAGTGGCTTCAGAACCAAACGTTTCATCATTCAGAGCATCATATTCTTCCTCTTCTCCAAGATCATCTTCTTCAAATGGACACTCGAGGCCATCCTCTAAACCGCTATTCTGTGTAAATCAAGGAAAACAAATCAATAAAACAGAAATGTTATTAAAGAAACAATTTAAATAATCAGATATATGCTGTTAAATGAAAATTAATTCTTTCGAACGCAAGACAGAGAAAATTTCAACAATAAAAATGTACGCGAGCAGTAGCGAAGGATTTGACGAACGTTCATTCTTCTAATTTCACTGAAATCATACGTATACGAGTCGTCCAATGGTGAACTAGAACGAAACGAAACGAAACAGAGGAATAAAAATTAATGCAACAATAATTAACAGGAAGATAGCAGTGTTAATGACCTTTGAAGGAATCAAACGTTGGCGAGGTTATGCGACATACCTCCATAACGACTCGAGGAGGCAATACGTACTGTATGTATTTTAGAAATGATATATGTATACATAAAGGAATAATATGCGATCTCGAGGTATCAGGAATTTGCTAAACAAACTTCGTCGATTTACATATCGTAAACAAGCTATTCATTGTCGAAAAATTACACGAACACTATCAAATTCTTTTTACTCCGGAAAAACCACAACGCGACTCTTGGTGAAAAAGTCGTGCACGATCTCGCACTTTCGTCGCCGTGTTTTCCATGTTTTTCAAACAGAATTGAGAACAAAAGATACTCCCAATAGAAGCCGGCTTACTTACTGCAAGTGACGTATCAAAACCGAAAAAGAAGTCTGCCATTTGTTGAAATTAAATGTGCAAAATGACATGTTCTGACCAAACGTCAAGCGATACGAAATGCATCAGCTGTCATGGCGGTCATACTATATAAACTCGCAGCCGCATTCTAGATGTCGCGGTTGTTTCTACAAAAAGAGAGTAGTAAAGCTGTAGAATATTTATCACTACTTTGTGTATGGGATACTCGCAGAGCAAGTTTAGTTGAAAAATGCTAATGAATTTTCGTTATTCCGTAACGGAATACATTGTCGCACGTGTACGTTTTTCTCATTTAAATCTAAACGGAAACAGGAACATAAATCGCAAAGCGTAGATGGCATAATCGCCATCACGAGTATCAAGCTACTCTTACAATTAGATAACTCATGCGCTATTTATTAATTTGAGATTCATTTGCGTTCGATATCTTGAACGTGTAATAATAATAACAATAATAATAATAATAATGATAATAATAATAATAATAATAATAATAATAA